ATTTCCTTCCTTTAATACCTTCTTTTGCTAATTGTTGCATTGTCATTTACTTTTTTTGACCTCATTAATAATAATAAGTTGGACACATTTATTTATATTTGGTTTGCTTTAATTTTGTTGTCAATCCATTTGACTCATTTTCTAATTGATTGATTTCATTACAGAACAGTTTGTAACAGAACAGTTTGTAATGTAATATTTTACTCGTAGAATAAAGAGAAGCCTCTTACCTCTGAGAAGATCAAACAAAATCTAGAAAAGTTGAGGGGAAAACTTATGGTAACTAATGCTATATATTTATCGGTTTATAACACCATCGAGAGGTTTTTTCACATTATATTACTTTTCCAAGAACGGTACATCTAAACTTCACCGAGAATTAGTTACCGCTTTGAATGGGTTATCAATTTCTGAACTAACTTGGAGGGATCCTTTAGCCAGCCGAGTTATCAGTGATGATTTGCAATTAGTCCAATGATTATCAAAGAAACATAAAAAAAAATTCATGGTATGGGTAAATTTGAATTCTGTATAGAATGGATTGCGTTATCTTAACTGATAAATTCTGATCCATTTTAAGAAACCGGTGGAAGATATGGTACCACCAATAATTCCTTCAGCTATACGAGAAGAATGCAGTAAATTTGTATCGAATTTTATGATACGAAGTACGTTAAGCTTGCATCAAGGATTATCGCATGATGGGAACTGGAAAGAAAATAACGATAAGCTTAAGGAGGTTGCGTTAAAGATTCTGGATACAATGAGAAATGTTTGGGATAATCCAGCTTTTCGTCCCGAATTTGTTGAATCGTTGAATGAAGGTACTTATGTAAATAATGTAGTTGTAACCACAATTCATGCTTCATTATTTGATAACCCCTTTGGAGAATGTGCATTTATTACCACGTAAGTTCTTATAATATATATAATGATCTCAAATAAATTGATTTCTGAAATTTGGAAAGATGCTACTTTTTTTTTTTCAGCTTTGAACGCCAGAGCCTTGCGAGTGCGGATAGAAAAAAAAATAGATAAACGAATGGGGCGACGGCCAGATATTATGCTTATTTCTAAGGAAAGCGATAAATTTTATGAGCTTATGTATGCGGAATGTTCGCGAATTATCTGCACCATACAAAAGGAGGAAGATGATAGCATGAAATTATGGCACGAAACAAACGATGGAATGTTTTGGGCACTTAAAGGCTGTAGGGTAGAAAATAGCCAGTTTGGAATTGTTGGGGTACAAGTTGCAGGTTGTAAATTACGTTTGAATGTTCTTATCAGAGATTCGGTTGAGGTGCATCGTTATTATAATTTGCGGGAATCTGAAATACCGATTAGATATTCAAACGATCCTTCTATTCTAGAGGAATTCATAAATACTTTGCTAATTTTACGGAATATCCTAATAGTTAATATGACCTTATTACGTACTACACGTCCACGTAGATCAAGTAGAAATTTAGAAGATAGTTCGACTATATCATCTGATATCGAATAAATATATATAGTTTTTTTCAATGGGTATATAGAAAAAAAAGATGCTAATTAATTATTACGCATATCTGACAATTTCCCGCTACATGTTGAGAATATCCAAATCAAGATTATTTACCTCTAAATACCTGCATAGTTCTACATAATCAAAAGTCGCTTTCGTATCTTGCGTATTCTTATTTATTATAGTTATGTGATCTTCATCTTTTCTTTGCATGTACTTATCCCGGTTTAAAAATTGCATATACTGCGTAGGATTATCGGTAAATCTACCTTGAGTTTTTCGTCTGTTATTCTTAGATTTTCGAGACATATTTGATATATCTATATTAATATGGATAAATGACTTCAATTTTTATCTTCCGTAAATGTATCAATCGTCAAGGAAATAAAAAATATATTATATATAAATGGTTTACCATGGGTTTTTTTCAGATTCTACCATATTACATAATACATTTTTTTTCATTTCGTGCATATAGTATAAAAACATTAGATTCGATTTTTCTCAACAAAATTGAATTACAATATTTATATGTGAATAAGCTTTTGAATATATCTTGCATATAGTATAAAACAATCGCAAACATGCAATCTACAATGGAAAACATGCAATCTACAATCGATTCATTGAGGGAATTAAATTCCAAACTCGTAGCCGAGATTAATGAACTTAGAAAAGAGAATGGCGATATTAAGGCCGAAACTATCGAGGTTAAAGCCAATATTGCAAAATTATATGATGATATTAAGGAAATCAAACAATCTTCGGCTAGGAATTCGAAAGAAAGGTCAGCTCAAAAAAACAAAATTAATTATCAAAAGGCAAGTACAGAGATATTTAATCAAATGATTTTAGCACATCCAGAATTAAAGATAGAGGATTTGCGTGAGATGACTGAAAAGGCTAGAAAAATTTATACATTGTTTAATGGAATTGGGATAGATAAAATCGGATTCTTTTCTGAATGTAGTATTGATGATATTTCTAGTTTAACAGATGCTCAAATACAAGATATAATAATATATTATACTGATAAACTTGCTATTCTCAAAAATTTTAGATAAGCATTACAGTTGATATTTCATATCATGTAAGTAATGAATTATAAAACTAGCACCCAAAAAAGGCGTAAAAATATTTTATTAAATATATATAAAAAAACGTATATATTATTCTCTCTTGATGCTACCACTGCCTGCATCTTCTTGGAAATATCCTGGTTCACTACTAATGAATACCAATTCTAATTCTATTCCTCCTACGGTCTGATTTTCTGATTGTCCCGGATTTCGAATGACATTATCAAGAGATATTCTTACGTTATTAACTAATAAATATGAACCATTTTCCTTTTTTTGAATTGACCTATGATTACACAGAGCGGTGGAAATGAGAATGAGGCATATAAATGCAAAACAAAATCGCTTCCTTCTGAAACAATTAGAGAAATCATGCAACTTACAGTTCAGCAGATTCTCCTTGATTTATTGTTCCGTCGTCTATTCTATTATCACCCCCGTCATGAACTGCGAGGTAAATTTGACCTAGTCCTCTCACTATGTAAAAAAGTATCATTGTTTTTATCGGATTATGCCTATGAATTCCATATATTAATAAAGTCAATAGAAGAATTTATTTACCGAATTTAACTGAAAGTGTTCCTTCCATTGTAATTGTAGACTTTTTTTTTCCATTAAAAAATATAAGGATGAAATCCACCTCATAAATCCGCCTTTCATCTATTTATTTGTTCAAGATTAAGATTTTGATCCAAATGAAAATGAATTGATTTTTATATGGGTTGTACAAGAAATCCCCTATTGGTTTTTTTATATTGTTGACGCGATTGATTTTTTTTTTTTTGGAAAAACAATTTATTTTTTTACAAAGACGAAGAAATGTTGTCTGATATGGTATAGTTCTCTAAAGAAGATAAAGTGCTTAGTGAAGTTGAACAGAAGAACCCGGAGAATCGTCATATTAGTATATTAGTTAGATGGTAAAATTTTGGGTAAGCATCAAAAAGTCACATGATTTTTTCAGACAAGAAATAGTTGAAATTTCCAAAGTTTTTAGTTGAGCATCTAAAGGTAATAATATCTGTTTTAAAAGTGAATTATGATACAATAAAATTCGGTAACAAACAGATAATCTGATTGAAACCAAAATCAGTCAATGATAAAAGCATTTGATAGTTTAAATCCCAAAACCATTTTCTCGAAAAATTACAAGGAAAATCCTATATACAGGACCTTCCTAATTTGGAAGCGCCATCTATGATGTGCGTGAACCCTTGTTAATTCATGTTCTATAGGTTCCACATCCAAATTAAGAAGGTCATGTATATATGAGATCACCTTTATTATAAATGATCGGAACTCGTTAATTTGTTTATTCATGCTCATTCATTTATAGTCAAAATGATTTCCATAATCACTTTTTCAATTTGGGCAAAAAAAGAAATTAATTAATATGTAAATATGGTAAATGTCTTTCCGAAAAGGGTGATATATTATCAACAAATGCTACACATATAAATGTCGCCCCCCCTATAAAACGTGAAACACAATGAATATAAAAACAGGATTGCAACATTGTTGGAAATAGAGTAAATAAAAAATACCTTGAAGAACTTTTAAAAACTTTTAAATATTAAAGATGATAATGGGAATGTTTAATGGTTTAGGATGGTCGGTGGGTACCGATTTTAAAGGATTGTCCGTCAAATTAATAATGGAAAAAATTCATGTTGCTACGCTATTAATAAATTACTCCATATGGTTAAATTGTTACACCAATGGGTCCAATGACCATCAATGAATCGGTATCATAGCCAACCTTGGTATAGACGATCTGCACTGCATCTTTTATTTTTAGATAATCCGTTAAATAACATCATTGTAACATTTTGGGTATTTGTGACGCAAACTTCCTAAAAAATAATATACAATAAAGACGGGATAGACAGAATCTATTCCGAGGTCCCCTTATTGTGACATACATACTAATACAAAGTGATTGACACGAGTACTACCAACCAATATAAATGTTCACTCACTATGCTCATTATATCCATGCGTGTTAATAATTCAAAAATTTCATTATTAATATTAATGTAAAGATCATTTATATTCACTTTTTTATCATGCCATCGATTTTTAAATTTAATGATAACGATAACGATAATTCTAATATAAACACAACTACTGCTACTAATTCTAATAATAAGTCTATCAATAATGAAGCTAAAAAGGTTTCCAAAAAACAGACCAAGAGAAAAAAATCAAAAATTAAGGAAAGAAAAGCAAGTAAAAAAGAACGTAAAGTGCATGCTAATTTAGAATTGCCAAAAACCGACATAGATCATAAAGGGAATCCAAAAATTAAATATGTGACAAATAAAATAGTAACCTCGAAATATACAATTTGGACTTTTTTACCAAAAAATTTATTTGAACAGTTTCGTAAAGCTGCGAATATGTATTTTTTATTCATGGCCATACTTGGACTTTTACCACAACTTGCAACAAACAACCCCATTTTGACTGTTCTCCCTTTATCAACTGTAGTCTTTTTCACTGCTATGAAAGATGCTATCGAGGATAGAAATAGACATGAAATAGACAAGAAATTCAATAGTGATACTTGTTATGTATTGCAAAATTTTTATAATGTAAATTATCCTCGAGAAAAATTAATTACTGCTTGGGAAAAAATATTGTATAAATTATTCTTTAAATCCGACAAAAGTCAAAAACGATCAATCAACAATAATTATGATGATGATAATACACGACAAATTGATCAAATCGAGCAAAATAATAATGACAATGAACAACAAATAGATAATGATGATAATGATCGGCTAGAAGGTGTTGATGAAGAATCTCCACCATCAGAACCGTCAAATACTATAGATGGTCAGCCATTGTTTAAAAAAACTACATGGAGAAATGTTCGTGTTGGTGATTTCATATTTCTTAGGAATGGAGATGTTGTACCTGCTGATTCAATAATTTTATCAACATCAGAACAGTCAGGAACTTGTTATGTTGAAACTAAAGATCTTGACGGTGAAACTAATCTAAAACCTCGTAGATGTGTGCCTGATACAAAAGATATCATTAACAGTGCTAAAGATTGTACACAACTGAAATTTTATATTGAATCAGAAGCTCCAAATTCTAATTTGTATTCTTACAGTGCGAAACTTGTATTAATTCAAAATAAATCGGTGCAACAAGGTGAAATACAAGAAGAAGAAGCTATTGACGAAGAAAAAAGAATAGTACCTTTAGATGTAAATAATTTGCTGTTAAGAGCTCATGTTATTAGAAATACAAAATGGGTAATAGCAATTACTATTTTTACTGGCATTGAAACAAAAATTATGCTTAATTCTGGCGAAACTCCAAGTAAACGTAGTAGAATTGAGAAGGAAATGAATCATGAGGTAATTTTATTATAAATCAATTAATTATTGAAATCTAAAATATACACATTCATATTAATCTTACAATTAATTCTTACCCCTATTTTCCAAAAGGTTATTTTAAATTTTATCATTCTTATTATGCTTGCGTTAACTTGCGCAATAGGAAGTGCTATATCAACTTATGTATTGAAAGATCAAGTACCTGATGCTGTTGAAAGATTAGATTCAAATAGAGACTCAATTGAATTGGCTTCATTTGTCACTTTTTGGTATGTTGTTCTTATTTTTTTTTTAAAAAAAAAAAAAGTAAATAATTATTTAAATTTTAAAAATAAAATTATATTTTAACAGGGCAAGTTTAATTATTTTTCAAAATATTATTCCAATCTCATTATACATTTCAATAGAATTTGTGAGAATAGTTCAGGTAATTAGTTGATTGGTTGATTGATTGATTAATTATATTTTATTTAAAAAAATATTTTATATATAAATATTTATGGATCGAATTAGGCATTTTTTATTTATAATGATCTTGATATGTGGGATGAAGATTCTCAGGCTTCATGTGTTCCAAAATCTGCAAGTATATTAATTATTTTTCTTTAAAAAAGTTCTACATATTTTAATCCAAATTTTTAATCACAAAATCAATAGTGGAATCTATCAGATGATCTAGGACAAATAGAATATATATTTTCTGATAAAACAGGTACACTCACACGTAACATAATGGAATTCAGGCAATGTTCTATTGGTGCTAAAATATATGGTAAAAATGGTTGGGGTGATAAAACAGATGCTGAAAGAGGAAAAGAAATGATACAAAGTCAGGTTGATGTTGTTGATGGTGATGACGATAATAACAAGTCATCTAAAGATCAAATTTTTAATGATTATTTACGAGAGTTAACAAAAACATTTAAACCAAAATATTCAAGTACCGATTCCAATTTCTTGTCATTTGCTGATCCTGAATTATTTAGAGATCTTAGAGCTCAAAAAAAAGATAATTATAACGATAGTAAAATTGAATATGAAATCAATGACGATAACATTGGCGGCAGTAGCAGTGGTGATGACAGTCATCATCAAGATTTGATAGATAGAGCAGGCTTGATTACAAAATTTTTCACCTTATTGGCAATTTGCCATACTGTAGTTGTTGATTCTGATAATAATAATGATGGCAATGATAATGTCAATGATAATAACAATGATAATAACGATACTAATAACGATAATAATGATACTAAAATAGATCAAGAATCAAATTTTAGTAGTGAAGAAAACATAAATGTCAATGATAATAATAATGATAATAATGTGAATAATAATGATGATGAAAATGGTTCATATATTTATCAAGCAAAGAGAAAAGTCAGAGAATCATTTATTAATATTAATAGTATACTACCATCATTGAAAGCTCTTGATTCAGTTACAAATCTAGTTGGCCCATCAAATCCTGGTACCATTAAAGCAATTCCAATTGACAAATCACTAGAAAAAAATCTTATATATAAAGCTGAATCGCCTGATGAGGCAGCTCTTGTCTCGGCAGCTAAAAATCTTGGATTTGTATTCTTGGGTAGGTCTACTGATTCTATCACAATCGATATTTTCGGTAAAGAATATACCTACCAAATCCTCAACATATTACAATTCAATTCTACTCGTAAAAGAATGAGTGTTATTGTTAAAAGTCCAGAAGAATTAGGTAGCGAGATCCTTTTGTTTTGTAAAGGTGCTGATAACGTCATTTTTGAACTATTGGCTCCTGGGCAAGATGATTTAATCGAAAAAACTTCCAATGATATTGATGTTTTTTCTAATTATGGTAACTTTTAAAATTATAAATATAAATTTCTTTAAATCGTTATTATCGTTATTTTTTTTTTTAATAAAACCATTAATATTATTTAGGACTTCGTACATTGACCTTGGCATATCGTAAAATAGATGAATCGCATTATCAAACATGGTCACAAAAATACAATGAGGCATCGACATCTTTAGAAAATCGATCACAGAAAATTGACCAAATTTCTGAAGAAATAGAAAAGGATTTAACTTTGTTAGGTGCAACAGCAATCGAGGATAAACTCCAAGAAGGAGTGCCTGAATGTATTACGTCATTAAGAGAGGCAGGAATTAAAGTTTGGGTGTTGACTGGTGATAAGCTAGAGACTGCAATTAATATTGGATTTGCAGCTCAACTATTAACAAAAGAAATGAGATTATGGATTATAAGAGGATCTAAAAAAGATAGCGTAATGAAGCAATTAGATGATGTAGTGGCTTCCTTACTTGGAAACAATATTGCGACACCTAATGGGCAACAACAAAATCAACAGATGCAAGAAGTCAATAATAATAATGATTATGAAGATGATCTTAATGATGATAATAATGATAATATGCAAAATGTACAACATGCTTTAATAATTGATGGTGCATCTTTGGCACATTTATTAAATGACGATAGTGCTAGAAACAAATTGATATCATTATCAGAGGCTTTTCATTCAGTGATATGTTGTCGTGTAAGTCCTTTACAAAAAGCTTTTGTTGTAGAGCTAATAAGAACAGGTAAAAGGACTACAACTTTGGCCATCGGAGATGGTGCTAATGATGTAAGTATGATTCAAGCAGCAAATGTTGGTATTGGAATATCTGGACAAGAAGGTAAAATAATACTTATTATTATTATAATATCCGGATGGAAAATTTAGTTTGCTAAATATCTCACATATAAATATTTTATAGGAGTTCAAGCATCAATGGCAGCTGATTATTCTATGCCACAATTTCGTTTTCTTGGAAATTTATTATTAGTACATGGCCATTGGGATTACTTGAGAATTTCTGAAATGATATTGAATTTCTTTTATAAGAATGTGATATGGGTATTTCCTGTATTATGGTATCAAATATTTTGCCTGTAAGTGTTTTCGTAATTGAATGATATTAATAGTTTATTAATCAGCACTAATTAATTGAATCATTAATATTAGATTTTCAGGAAATATATTTTACGATTATAGTTTTGTACAACTTTACAACATGATATTTACAGTCGCACCTGTAATTGTATTAGGTGCAATGGACCAATCGGTCAGTAAATCGTATTGTTTGCGATATCCAAGTATTTATATATTGGGCATTAAACAAAAAAGATACTCGAAATTCCTGTTTACAATCTATTTTCTTGATGGAATTTGGCAATCGTTAGTTGTATATTTCATCCATCACTTTATATATATATTGTCCGAAAATGTGGTGACAATCGAAGGAGCGGCAGCTGGTCCAATTGAATTTTCTACAGCAGTAGCAGTTTCAGTGATAGTGATAGCAAATCTGTTTGTTAGCTATAATACTTACCATTGGACATTTTTTACTTGGGCATCTTTAGTCGTAGAAATTTTTTCAGTATTTGCGTTCGTTACAATTTACGGGATGTTTGTGGATAGTCCAATATATGGAATTGGTGCACAGTTGTTCAGTGAGCCGATATTTTGGTTTGGATTATTATTCGTAATTTGGTTGTCATTGTTACCAAGATATATTATAACATTCGTTAAACAATGGTGGTATCCAGATAATTTGGATTTGGCGAGACAAATTAGAAAAAAAGAAAAATTGGAAAAACATTCAATAATTACAAGAGAAGTAGCAAATGAATCACCAAAGAGAAAACCTAAAGAAAAGATATCACCACCTACAATTCATGTCGAATTTGTAGAATAATATTAGTGGTGGTGGTAATAGTGGTGATGATAAGAAGGGATTATTAGTTACATAGATAATCCTTTTTTTTTGGAATATAGTGTTTTTATTTAATTTGCTATATTTATAAATTAATTTTATTTTTTGTAATTAATTGTAATATTAGAAATTATAGACAATAAATTGATTAATTAAAAAATTCCATTTTAGGGATTATAAAGGTTCCTCGCCATTTCTATTATCATATAATGACTATATATAACCAAAAATATTGTTAATAATATAATAGCATGTTGCTACTAGTACAATAATAATATTAAATAATGTGAATATTAAAGGGACAAACACTTACCAACACATATATGGTATTTCTAATATTTCTAAATTCTTTTAACAATTTTTTCCTATCAAAATGTTCTTCAATTCCTAATTGTTCTAATCCCTCAGAATCCAATTCAACAATCTCTTCCCATTTCATATTTTCAAAATTTTTTACATATCTATGCATTCTAATTCCATATAACCATTTGGGAAAATCTATGAAAATTAATAAAATTAATAAATTAATATACATTTATTATTTATTAAAGTTAACAGAATAAATTTTCTATGTTAACTTCCTTTTAAAAGATCAAAATTCACATCAACATAATTATCAATATAATATTGTTTTCTCTGTTCTTTAAGTAATTGATTTCTTTTTTCTTCTCTTCTCTTTCTAGAATTCTTCTTTTCTCTTTCATCTTCATCAACACAACTTTTTTTCTTTTCCTCGTTCTCGTTCTCATAATTACTCACTTTAACTTGTTTTTCCTTCTCCTCTCTATTCTCATTGATTGCTACTGTATTATAATTATAATACAGACTATGATTGTGACTGTGACTATTAGTAATATAGTTGTTAATATTAATAAAAATCAATAATGATGGATTGTTCGTAAATATTCTTTTTGGATAAATTAAATTTCTTGGGTGAATTAAATTTTTTGGATAAATTGATTTAATAATATTTTTAAAAAACATTTTATTTATATTATTTTTTTAGTTAATATTTTTTTTGATACAAAATTTTTATCGGCCAATCATCATCATCATTAATCATTCATTTATTAATATTCTAAAAAGATTAAATCGATTCATAATAATTTACCAAGTCTTGAAAGATGATAATTGATAGTATTGGGAGGTTTCGTTTTTCTTGGCTAAATATACACATGTGTATTTATATATAAAATTTGATGAATAGATTAATTTTCAATAATAGATTTTAATAAAATATAAATGATCGTTTACTCACCACATTACGCATGCAATTAGAAAGTGCTTGCACATTTTGTATACAAGCAGAAGAATTCATTGTATTATTGGCCCAACAAGTCAATAATGCTGCTACTTCAGGTGTACATGGACCTAATTGTTCAAGTTTTTTTGGTTTTGCCCGAAGCTTTGTAATTTTCATAATAAAAATAAATCAAAAAAAAATTTTTTTATCGATGATCTTTTCCTTTTTATTTTTTTTTCGATTGTTAAAAAAAAAAATTTTTTTTTAAAATTTTATTAATAAAAATATCTTTTAAATAACTATGAGTTATAATACATCAAAAGGTAAAGACGATTACATCGACGAAGCTCCAAAGGTAGTAGATAATGGCAAATTTGATAAATTAGATTAAAAAAAATTTAAATTTTATATCAACACTTTCATCAAATAGATTATTATTACCTCAAATTAATTAAAACTTTTTTGTTGACAGGTTCATCGTATTCGTATAACTTTAACTTCACGGAAAGTCAAAGCTTTAGAAAAAGTATGCACAGATTTGATAAACAGAGCAAAAGATAAACAATTACGTGTGAAAGGACCTGTACGTTTGCCAACTAAAGTTTTACGTATTACTACACGTAAAACTCCTTGTGGTGAGGGTAGTAAAACTTGGGATAGATATGAAATGAGAATCCATAAAAGATTGATTGATTTACATAGCCCAAGTGAAATCGTTAAACAGATCGTAAGTTATTTATTTTTAGTATGAATTTTTATGTAATAATTAAATTTTTTTATTTTTGTCTCTTATTCCTCTACTTTTTTTCCTTTGCCTCTTCCCTTTCCCTCATTCTTCTTTAGACTTCGATTTCTATCGAACCTGGTGTTGAAGTTGAAGTGACTATTGCTTCTTGAAAATTTTAATTATTCGAAAAAACAAAATAATGATTAAATTAAAATTCATTTATTTGTAAAAAAACAAAACATTGTTTAAATCAATCAATCAATTTAATATATATATATATATATATATATATATATATTATTTTTTAAAAATAAGTCTGTTTTTTTTAATTTAATTATATAGTACAAAAAAATACAAGATCTTTTTTTTTTTGACATAAGAAGGGAAATACCTAAATCGCCATTACCAATCATGATTTGACGTCTACTTTAATCTTTACGCCCATACTAATAAGCTCTGTAGCTAAATATTTAAATGCATAAGGTATTTTTATTAAAGCAATCCACTTAGAGTTATCGCATATATTACATTTCATAGAATGTTTCTCGAAATTTCTCTGACTTTTTGCCAAGTATTGTGTATTAAAAGAGACTGAAGTAAAAAGTGAACCACAATTTCGACATACATGACACTAAATTATTATTATAAAAAAATTTTTGATGATTAGTAATTAGGAATATATAATATTATTTTTTAAAACCCCCCACCTGCAAAGTATATACAAAACCTGTGAATAATCTGAACAATTTAATAATCTATCTTGTAAAGAAAAACTCATTCCATGTGCCAAAAGTGAATCACGCTCCATTTCACCGAATCTTATACCACCACTTTTTTTACGTCCTCCTATAGGTTGCATAGTAAGGTTATGAACTGGTCCTGTGGATCTAACTTGCCATTTGTCCGAAACCATATGACGTAAACGTTGGTAATAAACAACACCAATATAAATATCTGCCTGAAATTCCTCGCCAGTGATTCCACTATACATAGGTTCATTACCATGATAATTAAATCCAGCTCTTCTCAATTCTTCACCAAAATAATCAATTGCAGTGTGGTCTTCATCAAATCGGAATGGCGTACAATCTTGCGGCACACCAAACATAGCGCCACATTTCCCAGCTAAACTCTCCACAAACATCCCAATAGTCATACGCGAGGGGAAAGCATGAGGGTTGATGATAATGTCTGGCTGCATACCACTTTCTGTAAATGGCATATCAACTTGGGGCCATTTTTGTGACAAAACACCTTTTTGTCCATGCCTTGAAGAAAATTTATCACCAATGATAGCTGGTCTCGGAATTCTTAACATAATGTGGACTTTTTGAGCCTCATAAAGTCCCAAATCATCACCTAAAACCCGTACTTTATCCACATAACAATCCTCTAATCCTTTGTATTTTTTTATTTTAGTAACACCTTTTGAGTCAATGTAGGTACATAAAGGATCACCATTTGTCAACTTTATCCCAATATATGGAAATCCGTCATCATCAATCTTCTTACGTAAAGATGCAGGAGCATCTGGCCCAAGACCAAAATGAACGTTTATTTCACTACCTATTCGATAATCAGCAAGATTAATCACTTCTGATTTATATATGGTTCCATATGTAAAACCTCTTTCATGTGAAGACTTGTTGATGATCATAGCATCTTCCATATCATAACCTTAAATTTTTTTTTTTGAAAATTTTGCAATGGAGAAAAAAAGATGTATTTATTGATTATTTTAATGCTAAGAAAAGAGGTTTTCTCTAAATAATTTTAAATCCCAACTAACCTGTATATGAAATTACTGCAACAATAGCATTTATACCATTGGGAAACCCGTCTAAACCATATTTATTGTGAATTACATTAGACCTAACAATAGGTGTTTGACCTGTTTGTAATCGATACATTTTATTATCTGTTCTATGCATAATAGCAGTTGATGGCGTACCCATCGTTTGTTTAGCCATCTATATATTTATATTAATCAATTAATTAACGATATGTTTTCTTCCTCATTTCCAAAAAAAAAAAATATTAAAAACAAAAGAAATCAAGTCATATATATAAATACCTGACATTGATACATATTACGTGGACTTTGATTATAATCAGAAAATGGTGTTAAATTAGCAAGAATACTTAGAATGTTTGTCGGAGAAATCTCTTGATGAGTTGTGACTCCTTCAACTATATCTTCATTCGTACAAGCAATATTCATATATACCTATATTTATTGTATATATATTGTTAGATAAATACAATATATATATATATATTAATTAAAAATTCCTTAAAAAATTTACCTGTTCAAATGAACCAACCATATCAATGTTATTATTAGCCAAATATCTAACTGGCCGCATCATACGTGCTTGTGATGAAAATAGATAAATGCCTGGGTATTGACCTCCATTCGAAGTAGGAACATAACCAATTTCAAGATCAAGAGGTACCTTTACATGTTGATTTATATATAATATACGAACATAATTAATTAAATTATAATGTAATAAAACAATAATAATTATATCGTATTTATTATCGTATATATAAATACTTTTTTTTTCTTATCATATTTCATTGATCGTAGTATGACTATAAGCTTCCCAGAAAATTTGTTTTCACACCACCCAAGAATTTTCCCATCCAACTGAACACATAATTGATTTTTTTTAGGTTTATGTGAATAATCTGAAGAAATAGCTTCTTGTACACCTAACATGTATAATATTTCTGGTAAATCATTTGTATTAAGTCTTTCGGTAACTATTCTACAAGCATGTGAAAAATGATTAAGTAATCCGCAAGGAGTACCATCTGGTGTGTGGACTGGACAAATGAATCCTTCAAAAAAAAATTTTTGATGTTTAGTCTTTGTGAATTGATTTTTATAATTTAAAAAAATTAAAATAAATAAATAAAATAGATAGATACCCCAAGATTCAGGCAAGAGTTTTCTTACTGTTGTGGTTTTTAACTCAGTAAAGAAAGAACCACGATGAACACATTGAAAATGTGAAATGAACCTGTAGAAATTAAGTTTTTCAGCAACTATTGTATAACCGGAAGTCTGAAAAATCGACAAGTAATAATAATGTATAAATTAATTAACATGGAGGGATTTAATAATAATTAAGAAAGAAAAAACTTTTCAATAAATACCTGCATTAAATCTAATCCTGTACGTGATATAAGATTCCCTGTTGCTAAGAAATACGATAATTTCTTTCCAATATCGCAAGGAATTTTTGCGAATAGATTATTTATATATTTTTCTATATAAAAATTTTTTTAATATAAATTAACTTGAGAAATCAAAATAGAATAATAAATCAATAGTTTACTTACTATCATTAAAGTTTACTTCTTTTCCTGATCTAAGTTGCGTAGTTACTGTACTACGAATTTCATAAAGAAAATCTGATAACTTTTCTTTGATAATAATTGCATATAAATATCCACTTAAAAGAATTTCTTGATTTTGTGGCGAGTCAGGATTGTCTGGGCAACATTTTCCTGCAGCAAGAGAATAAAGTTTATGAATCATAAAACTTGTTTTTTAAAAAGGTTCAAAAAAATATATCAAAATAGTAAGTAAATTATTAAATGAAAAATAAAATCATACGTGTGTATATGTATATATTTACCATAATAAATTAAATTTATCTCTATTATTTTTAAGATGAACTAATATCACTTTTTTTAACATGTATTCTCCAACCTTTTTATTGGAATAAAAACTTGGAAATGAAAATATTATCCGGAATTTTTCACCTAGCAAGGAAACACATTGATCTTGTTTCAGGATATTATATCCCCGGAAATTCACAAGCATTAATTCAATACGATCTGCTAAAAATGTATTATCAAAATTTCCTTGCATCAACATCTCAAATATTTCTTTATCGGTAACATCACAAAGTGCCTTTTTTTTTTTTAGTAAGTGATGATAATGAGTAGTAAATATATTTTTTGTTTTAAGATTTTTATAGAAAATGATATTATGTTAATACCTTTAGTACCCAAATAACTGGAATGACATATTCGTTTTTTCTCCAAGAAAATCTTAAATTACAACCACCATCTTTTAAATAATGTAATGTATTTGTAAATGTTGTTTGATCAGGCTTAGCACATCTAATTGTTACTCCATATTCTGAATAATTTGTACCCCTATTTGCAAATGAGGGACGAACGAGTGCCATTACATAATTACGTCTTTGAACCATTAAAAGACGAATGATTTTCTCTATTCCATTTACTATGAAATATCCGCCCATTTCTTCCGATTCTTCATGATGTTGGATCAATTGTTTTGAATAAAGATTTTGTAAATTACATCGATTAGACTTAATTAAGGAGTAATACGAAATAGCAAGAATAAGAACATTATAATTTAATGATAATATATCAAATGTTTAATAAAATTTATCAAATTACTTTGACCATTATAGGAACCATTCCCATATACTTAGATTCGATATTAACAGGCCCATCATTTACTTTCCAACACAATTTAATAGTCATCCTTCCTGCATAAGTTGTCAATCTTTCACGGCACTAAATTAATCAAAATTATATATATCAATTTATATATATATACGTATATATTATAAAATGGCTGACATATTATAAATAAATGATAGTACCTCTGTAGGATATATTAATCTTGTACTAGTAAGTCTAACACTAACATTTTCTGGCAATAATGGCCTTGCAATATTTACTTCATCAATCCATACTTTTGTTTTCCAAATAAATAATGTCATATACTCAATTAAAATGTACATGTAAAATTAATTAAAAGTAAATTCAAATAAAATATTATTACTTGATAATTTATTTCCTGCTACAAGACTATCAACGGGAACATCAAAAATTTCCCGAACTCCAATATCATCAATAGCAAAATTCAACAAGCTTTTTGTAGGAGGTTCTAATAAACAATTAAACGAATCAACATGAGGCTTTACTATTTCTTGTAATCTAGGTACACCGAATTTCTTTGAATTTGGATTTAAAAACAATTTTTCTCTCTCGAGTGTGTTAAAACTTGAAGACATTTTTATTTTGTTATAATCAAAAAAGCTCCCACCCAATATTTATAAAAAATTTGTTGATAATCTCAAATCACATGATTTAAAAACCGACAAAAATTTCTGATATTCAAAAAAAATTTGCATGCTGTTACTATATAGAGTTAAATTTGAACGGAGTTTATGATTTGGAAAGATTTTAAATTGAACGTTTAGTCAATGGAATTCAACAAGGAGAAATTGTTCCATTTATTTTAACAAAGTACTAGTACAATACACAAAGACTTAAATTCACTACATAGTAAACATATAATTTTTTAATAAATAATTTTTACAGATAATATTCTTATTAACACCTTTAAAAAAATTTCTTTGCTATATATTTATTATTATAACGTGCAAGAAATGCTAAAATATTCCAAGATACTGGTTCTAATTATCAAATAATAATAATCAACCCTTATATCCCATTAACAACAACTCTGTAATTGATAAGAATTCATTTGAAAGAAATATTCAATCACCTGGTAAAGTTGTTGTTAGAGAAAATAATAATAGTGAATTCACATTTACTTAACAACAAAAACAAAAGAAGAATTATTATTATGACTCAAGTAAATCATCATTATCACCAGAAGGAGATGAAGGGCATTTGCCATCTCCACCTGAATACACTGTTTCTGTTGCTAATTTTGAAAAGTTCTGATGGCATTACACCTTGTGATTCAAAATTAAATAAAGAACCAGGATCATTGTATAGGTTTACATATGTTTATGATTGCATATAATGATGGCAATAAAAATACATGGGTATCATCATACTCAAACAAGAAGTTATAGTTATTATTTGATTAATTGATTCAAGTGAAAATTCTTGTCTTGTCACTTGACTGAAATCATCAGGTTACAGATTTCTTGATTTCTTGATTACAATAAATTTAACAGAATACATTTGGCTGTTTTTACAATCTCAAATCTTAACAATAATCTGAATCTTAATTATATTGGCCATTAAAGGTATTGCAGTGATATAGAAATCACACATCCAATAAAAGATGATATAGTAAAATCTCAATCAGACCATAAATTTGCAGGAATGCCTCAACTCAGATTTTATGTTTCCTCACTTATCTTTGCATAATTTTTTTGACCTTTAGTCTGGATATATAAAAAATATTTAAAAATAAAATTAGAAACAATTTTTATATGTCAATATCACCAAGAGATTGGTATGATCAAAATGTAACCTTATTATTGCAAATGTTAAATGGTTATAGCCAATAATTTTATTGTTATTGTTATTATTATTATAAATTGTATTTTATATAATCTATTTATTTTCTTTTTCTTTTTCTTTTTTAATCTCTTCGATCAATTGTTTAGGATCAAATACTAATAGTGAATTAATTTGTTATGACATTAGTAACATTAAATAATAATAATAATCTTAAATTATAAATAAATGGGATTGTGCCAACAATTTTTAGTTTTTGCCAGAACCATATTTTATTGGCACAGTTCCCATGTATGAAATGGCTTTTTTTTACTTGTTTTATCAGTTTCTGCAGCTTTTCTCATTACTGTCATGATTTGCTTCATTCTTTCTTGATTTTCAGGACCTTCGATTGAATGTTTAACTTCAGGTGATAATTTCTAATAAAATAAAATCCAAAAAATTTATATAATAATTTAAAAAATACATCAATTATATATTAAAAATAATAACTTCATATATTTGCTCTCTGGTTGGTGTTGAAAATTTCATTAATAAATATCCAAATCCGATTATTGAGGTGCCTGCAAACAATGCTTTTACATATGGATGACTTGACATTTTTTTTTTAAAAAAATTCAATTGTGCCACAAAAAATACTATTACTATTACTATTGTATGCTTGTAACACGGGAACGATAATTTCCGGCGTTAAAGCCGCCGAAATGTAACAGACCTTGGGTATCAGAAGCAAAAATTTGAATATCTTTCAAAGATACAAGAGTGGCTGAAAATCCTGGTCACTTTAGATTAGAGTTGATAGTGGTCTTAACAAATTTAATAAGTGGGCAATGCTGTGACAAAACTAGACAATGCGAACATTATGTCACAATGTGCTTTCATTATTCTTTTCCTATTCAATAACTTCCATACAGAATAATTGGAGCTTACTTTTCTTTCATCTCTTTCACCTTTACTTTCAGGTTTTATCTAGCTTAATTTGTTGAATTTTGCTTTCTAATTTTCGAGTTTGGATTACCATTTTTTTTTTTAAAATCGTTTCCAAATTTGGAAGTGGAAACAAGGAGAAACAACAAATTTGTTCCGTTTCCTGTTCCTTCTGATCAGTCAATAAAATTTAATTTTGACTGTGTAACAAGGAACAGGAAACAGGAACGGAACAACTTTGAACACCCCTATTACTAAATTGTTTTTTCGCGACACATTACCTTATTTTTCGCGAGACATTACTAAATTCAATTATTTTATTTCCCGTGAGACATTACTAAATTAAATTATTTTATTTTTCGCAAGATATTACTAAATTCAATTATTTTATTTTTCGCAAGATATTACTAAATTCAATTGCTTTATTTTTCGCGACACATTACTAAATTCAATTATTTTTATTTTCCAATATTATTACTAAATTTAAAATTTTTTTTGCGACAAACTACCAAATTCATATTAATGTTAATATTAATGATGTCAATGAAAAATTTTTTGCGACAAATTACTAAATTCAAATTTATTATTTAATACAATTAATATTAATATTAAGTAATGATCGACAAAATTTTAATAAAGACTTTACTATATCGAGCTCTAGTTAATATAATGGGTACCAAGTAAAACTTCATTATATATATCGAGAGTTTATATTAAAAATCACTATATCGAGCAGAATTTATATGTAATGAAATGGGAAATTTTCCAACTTTGCTATATCGTGTGATTTACTATATAGTAGGTACACTATATCGAGCGCCGACTGTACACAGTGAGTCTCGGTATAGCGGACCAGATTTGGGGGTTTAGCGGATAAAATTTCAAACCCAAATTTTTCTATAACAATTTTATAAATTCGGTTTACCGGATATTTTTTATATGTCACTTGTAATAAATTTTTTTTGATATACGTATAACAATGATCCTTACTATTTTGGGCTAATAAAAGTAATGACGCGCAATTATTAAATATTAATATTAAGAACGTAAATATTACTATTTTAATAATTAATTTCCGCTTTTTATTCTTTGCTAAATTACTATGCAATTACAAACTATCGAAAAAGCGGACAAGGATTTTAAAAAAAGTAGTAATTAGAAATAAATTGTAATAATCAGCAATACATCCACAATTTAATCTAACATATTTCTAGCTATTTCTTGGCAATGACACCATCAATATATGCTAAAATCGTAAATATTGTAAAAGGACAAAGTGAAGTTGATAACGATGAAACAAATGAAACAAATGAACCTGAGATGATGGTCATTAATATGAAAGCTATAAAAGCTCCGGAAACTATACTTAATATGTAAAGCAAGAAATTTTATATATTGATTTTCAAGTAATTAGAAATGTCAAAAGAATAAAAAGTGAAATTTCTTGCAAAAATTCTCAAGAACAAGCGCAAACAAGAATGGAAGATCATTATAATGTCAACGTTTTAAGTGAATGAATTGTTTTTTTTTTTAATTTTTTACCAACTGTATTTTTATTATCATCATTATTATTTGCATTCATATTATTAAAAATAAAAATTTTTTACGTAACATGTATCACATGATTTAGTCAAAAATTCGATTTTTTATGGATATCTCGGTGTTACGGATGACTCAGTATAGCGGATAAATTTACTGTAACAAACATATCCCGTTATACCGAGCGAGACTCGCTGTATTTTTTTTTCAAAAAAATTTTATATATTATTCTCAGAGCCCGATTTTTCTGGAAAACCCCCCATTTAATATGCATGATTTTTAACAAGAATCTAAACCATGTGTAGTTAATCCAATTTTGATATCCTGTATATAATCGCACAAATATATCAACTGACCTCTTACACGTTCTAATAATAGCTAAATTAGCTCGATTGTACATGAGAACACAAAAAGTAGCATGTTTAAACACTATTATTCTATGACTTTTCTTAGTTGGCGGGAATTAAAAGATGTAGATCATTAACAAATTTAGGTACTATGACTGAAATAAATGAAATTCAGAGTCAACTTTATTACAAATAAACTCGTAAAACGACCACCGGTTCTAGAAACAAGAATATCTGGTAAAATTTGAGATATAGTAATTATGTGGTGTGTCCCATGTTTTACATGTTTTTATAATAGGTCCTTTTTTCGATTTTAAAATACTTTATACATATAAATTGTAGAAATATCAATACCGTAAAGTCTGGAAAGATAGCACCCCCTACTTTAAAACAATTGAGCGTCAATATAAAAAAAAATGTTACACATATGTAAAAAGGGGATGCTATCTTTCCAGACTTTACGGTAGTAATCGTGACTTGCAAATCTATCCATAAAAGGATTTTTAACCATGCTGTAAAATCCTGATCATTTGCTATTTTAAACATTCAAAAAAATGGTATTAAAGTTGAAAAGAGAAATTTCTTATATATAGGAATATCCAAGAAAAAGACAACCTCGAATTGATGAATTTATAAGTCATTCACTGTGTACTAACATTGACCAATGAAATTAATTGGTCCACGATTTATCTTATTGTCTGTGTCGATTTGTAAAATAAAGGCTCTTCTTGTGTTTTGAAAATGATTTGGCTATTTTTTACAATTAAACTTCTGGCTGATTTTTGAAGATAATGATTATGGTCAATATATATTTTGTTTAAAATCTTACAAAACAATTCATCGATACATATTAAAGACGAAGAAAGAAAAAAAGGAAAAAAGCGTGACGGTCACCGACCGACACCAATAACATTAATATTAATATTAATAATATGAAATAAAGTTCCATCTATAACTTATTCATAATGGATTATCATATATTTTTTAGCTATATATTTTTGATTTGTTATTTAACGAAAAATAATCAGTCAACACTTCAATAATTGTTAAATATAAAAATGTTCATAATTTATTATTATCGTCATTATAAAAATCTACTTTAGTTGCAATTGGTATTTCATGAAGTTCTACTTTTGTTAAGGTTTCGCTGTTTATACCATCGTCATCACCGTCGCCATCACCATCACCACCACCATCACCACCACCATCATTGTTATTGTTATTGTCTTCACTACGGTTATTTTCGTTACTACTACCATCCATCGTACCTTTTAATGAAAAAGAGTTGAACTCTTCTTTAAATGCTTCTTGGAAGTGATACATGCAGGCATTCGCGATACCGCCTGAATTTATTGTTACGCCTAAATATTGTATATATTCATGTTAAATACGTGAATATATTAAGCAAGCATATTTAGATTTGATTATTCACCTATTAAAATGTAAAGCCAAGTCGGTGTGGTCGGCGAGAACAAGATATAAACAAATCTTGATAAAGAAGGAGCCCATCTAGAAAACGATATATTATATGTAAATGAAAATATAGTTTCTTTTTAAATTTTTAATTCACTTGTTTCAATCACTTACTGAAAAATCAAAATTAAAATATATCCAGCTATTTTTTTGTATACACGTGTACGTATGTTTCCTTGCTTTTTACCGTTTAATGTTTGTCGATCAATTTTTTTGACTTTATAAAGTATACTTCCATAACAAAACGTTATTATGACCACAGTTGACGTCAATAGTATTAACGTGCCTTGCAAGTCTCTAGACCCACACCTAATTGATTAATTAGCGTTGTTATTTCGTGAATTACGGTGGCGAAACAACAACAACAATGATGATTATGATGATGATGAATTACCAGAATTCGTCAGATCCAGACCTTTCGATACTTGGTGACGTAGAAATAAGACTTATTATTATGACAGGTGATAATAATTTCCAATCGTATTTCCCTAAACCTGGGTGCTTATTTAAACATACCCTTTGAAAGTTTATAAGAATAAAAATGATGTTATGTAACGAAAATGTATTTGAAAGATTACAATTCAATGCATAAAACTCGATTTACCTTATAAATGTGTTTATTGAAATACAGGCTCCCAACAAAACGTTTGCCAGTACAATTAATATTACAAACACTCCAGTAATTCTACATTGAAGTTCCGGTAAAAGTTTGCCATGCGTTGCTAAATAATACTTTTTTTAAAAAAATTTAAAAAAATAAAAAAATGTTATTATGGTATTTGGTTTGGTTGGTTGATTAAAAATTAGACAGTATATGTAATTTTATTACAAATTCTGGGAGCTCGCTTAATGTTATTAAGGAGTCGCTGCATGCGATATAAAATGGAACTTTTAAAACCATTGGGAGTGATCCAATTCTTCTCCAGTATATGAAAGTCCAATAAAATATGTAACAACAACCTGATGGTAAATAAATTTCATACAATGAATTAAAAATAAAACGAAACCATTTCAAAATTAATTGATTCGATTTAAAAAATTTACCTATTAAGTTTAAATGCAAAGTGATCAAAGTGAATGTTAAGAAAACGTAATATCCCACACGATCGTTATTTGGATATCTGTAATCTTCGGTTTTTTGACTTTCATCTTGTGAAAAAACAAAATTTATATTATAAAGGAACGACAAAGAAATAAAAAAAAATCTTCTCATTTTTATCTAACTCATTTAAAAAAAGACCGACGAAAAAACATCCTTTTTATATTTGCAAAAATTGAACTTAATTTTGGTAACCAATGAAAATGGTGTGAAAC